ATGTATATGTGTTTATATATAATCATTTTTTTAATTTAATATACAGTCCACAAATTTATATATTTACCAGCATTCCTGGTGATGTATTTTTCTTTTATAATTAATAGGTCCAGAGCAACTTGTGGATATGACAGTGGTAGGTATCGAAGGGGGACATTTTTTGCGACCTAGGTGTCCCAAATTCCTACATGTCTAACTGATAAATAATAATCTTTTCATTTACTGTTATATATATAATGATACATTCAGATAAATGCAATTTTCCACAACTTTGATCCATTCTCTCTAAATGACCAAACCACCTCAACAACTCTTCTTCAGTCCTCTGACTAATACTTTTATTAACTACACACCTTCTCCTAATTTCCACACTCTGAATTTTCTGCATAATATTTACACCACACTGCCTCCAGCTGCCTCCTCGGTGCAGCATTTACAACCCAAGCTTCACACCCATATAAGAGTTGGTACCACTATACCTTCATACATTACCTTCTTTGCCTCCATAGATAACATTTTTTGTCTCCACATACACCTCAATGCACCGCTCACCTTTCTTCCTTCATCAATTCTATGGTTAACCTCATCTTTCATAAACCCATCCACTGACATGTGAACTCCCAAATATCATGCATAAGCATATATATATACAGTAGGGCCCCACTTCACAGTGTTTCACCTTACGGCGTTCCGCTATTATGGCGATGTCAAATTATGACCAAAATTTGCTATACGGCAAGTGGTCTTTCAAATACAGCACGCCCCACCCGGTTTGTTTACATTCTTGGTGACCACATCTATTATGTAAGGAAACTTTCCAAAATATCAAGCGTTTTAAAAATACTGCGTATTTTATATGTACTCTGATAATTATACTTATGTGTACCTGTACCTAAATATACTTACACACTGTGCTGGTGTGCAGGTACACATTAAAATCGCTAAGTCTCTCTACTCATGACGCCACTACTACGTAATAATAATCACTGTTGGGCACATTAAAAGTCTTATTTTACATTAATACAGTGGTCCCTCAATTACTGTCCATAATCCATTCCTGGAAGTGGGACTATTATCAAAATAGACGATTTTCAAATCCTCCTTTCATATTGTTCAATGATGTTTTTCTTAAATTCAATCGTATTTCTCACCTTCTTTACCAAAGGTTTGGCACTAGGAGCTTTCATTGGAGCCATGGTAGCTTATTTAGCACTTCTTTCTTTCTTTCAACACACCGGCCATATCCCACCGAGGCGGGGTGGCCCAAAAGGAAAAACGAAAGTTTCTCCTTTCAAATTTAGTAATATATACAGGAGAAGGGGTTACTAGCCCCTTGTTTCCGGCATTTTAGTCGCCTCTTACAACACGCATGGCTTACGGAGGAAGAATTCTGTTCCACTTCCCCATGGAGATAAGAGGAAATAAACAAGAACAAGAACTAGAAAGAAAATAGAAGAAAACCCAGAGGGGTATGTATATATACGCTTGTACATGTATGTGTAGTGTGACCTAAGTGTAAGTAGAAGTAGCAAGACGTACCTGAAATCTTGCATGTTCATGAGACAGAAAAAAGGACACCAGCAATCCTACCATCATGTAAAACAATTACAGGCTTTCGTTTTACACTCACTTGGCAGGACGGTAGTACCTCCCTGGGTGGTTGCTGTCTGCCAACCCACTACCTAGGATTTAGCATTTGCAAGAACTAAAATAATGGAATATTATGAAATATTTCGTATGAACATGTGAGGGGACCGTCACTCATTGGTAAACAATGGCACACTGGCTGGGAACTGCTCAGAGCCGTGAGTACGTGTCCAGGACAAAAGACGATTAGCGAGTTAACGGACCATTTGCGAGCCATCGTTTAGACGAAATAACGGGACTATTTCCGAAATGGTCAACTTTCAGGCCGAACGATTATTGAGGGACCACTGTATAGGCATTTCATTAATCCATCTATTATATTTTCCTCAAAATTATATATGAAACCCGTTACACAGCATATAAACATGATACATACACTCGCATAATAAAAATTGACGTAAATACGAGATTTGTTTACAAAGCAGCTGTGTAGGTAGTGTCGGAAGAATTACGTTTTCTCTAGTCAAACTGGGGGATAACTGTAGAAAAATATTCTTTTCGTATGCCTTCACTCTATATATAGCAATTCACAACCCTTCTGGGTTTAGTACTTTTTATAATAATAATAATAATAGTAATAATAATAATAATAATAATAATAATAATAATAATAATAATAATAATAATAATAATAATAATAATAATAATATCTTCATTCACTCTAAAAATGGTGTGTTGCTGTTTGTTTATTCTGTACTAACTTGTACACAATGTAAGAGTATTTGTATTGTGAGGTAATTATTATTATAATTACCTCACAGGCATGCGTGAGCGTGTTTGATAGGAGTGAATGGAGACAAATGGTTTTTAATACTTGACGTGCTGTTGGAGTGTGAGCAAAGTAACATTTATGAAGGGATTCAGGGAAACCGGCAGGCCGTACTTGAGTCCTGGAGATGGGAAGTACAGTGCCTGCACTCTGAAGGAGGGGTGTTAATGTTGCAGTTTAAAAACTGTAGTGTAGAGCACCCTTCTGGCAAGACAGTGATGGAGTGAATGATGGTGAAAGTTTTTCTTTTTCGGGCCACCCTGCCATGGTGGGAATGGGCCAGTGTGTTAATATAATATAAAAAAATAAAAAAATATTGAGGTAAATGTTTTACAAACTCTTACAAATGTACGTGAATGAACTAAAAGTAGACACATATTAATACGCATTTATTTCGCCTGACCAAGTGATCGCCCACTACCTGTTCAGTTTGTGTTCTTACATTATCTGAACTCTGTATCTCGTTCTCTCTCTCGTTTACTCTTTCGTTAACCAGTTGGCTCTCATTGATGATGGCATCTAAGCTTAGCTGTGATAAAAAGAGGAGTCGTAAGACTCTTGCCTTAAGCGCCAAGTTAGAGGATGATGGTGTGCCATTCTGATTTTATTCAATAAACAACCTGCCACTCACCTCTCACACATTAATATTTTAAGGCAAGTAATAAGTGTACTCTGTGTGTATCTTACCTTTTATTGTGTTTTTAATACCTATTTCTATTGCTAACTTAATATAAGTTAGTGTAAACTTGTTGTCTGGCATTTATTGCATATTTTGTATGTGCTCTGATAATAATACTTGTGCACCTGTGTGGTAGCCAGGCGGAGGGATAACATTACGTTTTCTCTGCTGAGCCACCAGAGAAAACGTGTATGAATCTGCATTTGACCCAGCCACTCCCCCACTCCGCTTTTGTTTACAATATTCAGCATGAATTATTCATTACTTCTCCCTTCATTTATGATGGCATCTAAAGGTAGTTGTTAGAAACGATTAAATTCAGTGAACAAGGTATGTCGATGCTAATAATATGGCTCTGGGCAGGCAGGCTACACCTACCAGCTACACCTACCAGCTACCTACAGTGACTTCCTAGAAATAAATACTATTCACCTCTCTTCCTACATTAAGACTACTGTATGTAAAAAAAAAAAAAGATATTAAGTATGAGATGGGGAGCCAGGGCTACCTACACCTGACTTCCTACAAATGAGTACTACTCACCTCTCGCCCTACATTAAGATTACTTACTTTAAGTAATGAATGTACTGTATATGTATTTTACTTTTTGTGTTTTTTTATGCCTAGCTCTATTACTAACTTAATATAATTTAGTGTAAACTTGTTGTCTGGCATTTATATGCATTTATTAATGGAAAAAATGGTGGTCTGCTTTCCAGCAGGCGATAGCCTGAAACCTAACCCACCCTATAAGTGGGGCCCTACTGTACACACCCCTCTGAGTTTTTTCTATTTTCTTAATAGTTTTTATTCTTGTTTTTTCTTATCTCCGTGGGAAAGTGGAACAGAATACTTCCTCTATAAATCATGTGTCGTAAGAGGCAACTTAAATGCTGGGAGCAAGGGGTTAGTAACCCCTTCTCCTGTATACATTAATTTAAAAAGAGAAACTTTCATTTTTCTTTTTAGGTCACCCTGCCTCAGTGGGATGCGGCCAAAAAAAAAAATTCCCTATAGCTCTTACTCTCTTTTATCTTCTTTCCCCATATACAGAGAAACAATGCATGCTTTCTGCATATCTTCCAAAATAAACTCTTCATCTACTTTCAGCATCCCAGTCTTCATCTCATCCTGCCTGCTGCCTCATCTAGTCACTTACCCTAATCTGTGGCTCCTCTCTCCTAACAAAATCTCTTTTCTTCTTGTTTACTGCATGATATCTCCACCTTCCTTTAATTCTCCAAGTTTAACAGCACCTCAAGATATGCTCTTCATACCTTCACCTCACCATCTAACATCCCATCAATTTCATCCTCAATTTACTATTCAGACTTTCTCAACTTATTTACTTCTATTTTCTTTTCCTCTCTCTTTGTACTCTCTCTCTTCCTACTCTTTTAATGTCTATTTTCATCTCCATAGATTACTTTTCTTACATCATTTTTACCCTAAGAATCTTTACTATGCTAACTTTTTTCCCTTACTGTGCTATCACTCATACAGCATACAACAGGCATTTGCAAGTGTGTTAGATAGAAATGAATGGAGATGAATTGTTTTTGGGACTTGACAAGCTGTTGGAGATTGTGAAGGGATTCAGGAAAACCGGTTAGCTGGACTTGAGTCCTGGAGGTGGGAAGTACAATGCCTGCACTTTAAAGGAGGGGTGTGAGATATTTCCTGTTAGGAGTGACATCTGAACTGTCATATCTGTGTGCTTCTCCAATTCAGTGATTGTGTAAATGATGGTGAAAGTGTTTCTTTTTTGGGCCATGCTGCCTTGGCAGAGACAGCCAGTGTGTTGAAAAAAAAATCCTCCCTCCTATAATCACAAACTTCTGCTGCACACTCTAGAATTACAATTTTAAATTAACACCATAACATCTTGACATCATCCTCATCCCTTAAAAAATAATTATAAGCTCAGTATACAGTGTTTACCTTTGGAAGATGAGTGGGCAGAGGCATGAGTGCAGTATAGTCAGTGGGAGAGAAGGCAAAACAATGCTTGAAAACCTCTGTCTCCAATGTGGTAAAAATGGAATGGCCCAAGCACCATTTTTCAAAATCATCATATGAAAACCGTACCCTGGGCGGAGGCTTACCCCATACCTAGATGAGAGAGTAAAGGATAATATATGCTCATTACATATAAAAAATGCAACAGCAGCTAAATGTCAACTTGGAATAACACCACTGTTGGTGTTATTAAAGCTAACATTTTAACCCTTTCACTGTCGAGACCCTTGATCACAAACTTGCTCTCAGTGTCAAAGAATTTTCAAGAAAAAAAAAAAATCTTGTGAAATGATAGAGAATATTTTCCTGATGGCAATGACACCAAAAATAAAAATTTGATGGAAAACTTATGGAATTATGCTCTCACAAATTTAGTTGGCTCGGCGATTTTTACGCATAGGCGATTTCACCCACTTTGAGCCCTATTTTTGGCCAATTCCATTGTTCCAGTTGACCAAACTCATAGCTATTTCATTAGAACTCCATTTGTTCTATCAATTGAGTACAAGAAACTCCCCATTTACCGATTTCAACTATCCAATATAGTGATCAGAATTTGGTAATTTTGTCAGCATAGTTGCTGAATCCCCTTACATGTGTTGTATAGATTAACTGAGCATTATAGTATCATCCATGTGTTTATATAGAAGATCCCTTAGGCCTGTGACTGTATGATGTCACGGGATACAGCTTGAGTGTGAGGCGAGCTACCTTGGTCTCAGTCGGCGTATAACATCCAGCTAGGCAGTGACACGGCAGGCTGGGCTCCATCTCCCATCACAGTCTGACAATATATCGTTACCATCCAACTAGTGTGTCTACCTTCAACCCTCAAATCTCCTTTTAAGAACCCCCACGACAATTTTTGCCAATTTCATACACAATTCAAGTAAGGCTAATTTCAAAATAGGGTCTAGAATTAACAATACAAACATTTCTAGCACTAAAATAACATTTTCTCTGTTCATTAGTCACATCTCCAGGCCCCTCTTATATTATGCTTGCTTTCCATTTTGAATTTTTATTCACACAAAAAATAGAAGATTTACTGTTATGCAGACAACTGCATTATTGTAAAAATGGTATGAATAATATCAGCACATTTGCGAAAGCATATCAGACCCACCAGTTGATGTGTATTGGATGCACTGCATCATTTGTTTACTCCTGAACATTGGCAAAAATTGAACATTTCTGTTACTTTGAGCTCAATTTCAAGGTAATTTTAGTCTGTAAACCACTCAAAATCATGTCTATTTCTGTGATATATCTTTCATTCTATCAAAGTGGACCAAGAAATTGTGAATACAACCATAAATACCATAAAAAAATACACCACAAAGTGGGTGTTTTAAACCAAAAACATGGTAGTTTTTTTTTCTCATTATGCACTGCATACTGCAGGATTTTTTTTATGCTGCACATATTGACCACTCAGACCCATTCTCTCATATGTAGGCCTAACAGCTTTCTTCTGCAATATTGGAAGCCACTAAAATTTGTCATAATATTACAGCACCTACACTAGCTTGCAAGCCATAATATTATGGCACCGACAGTGAAAGGGTTAAGTAACCAACATCTGGCTTATAAAATACAGTACAAAGATTCCATATAATGTACTAAAATTGTAATTTAAACTTCTCTCACAAATGACAATTTTAAAATTAGGAAGGTGATTTATCTGTCAGTAATTAATCTTAACTTATTTTTTAATGAACTAGCATTTTATTTCAAATGTCTGAGAACCCAAAAACAAACTTTTTATCCTTAATGAAAGCAACATTATTAGTTAAGAAACAGGAAAATAAAGCAGAGTTTGCAAGGGGAGAAAAACCTCTTACCTCCTTATGACTTCCACCAGCATACAACAAGTCATGAAGTAGGGCTTGTGATACTTGTTGCACGGTACTTTCTGAAGACTTCCATCCTTTGTATCCCGACTGGCTTGTTATGATGCGTAGGTATGCACACACAATTACTTCTGTATACTGAAAAAACAATCTTCATGAATACAGTACTGCTTCATTTCTATATAATAGTAATACGAAGTCATAGAGGCTGAGCATCAAATAATATGCACTAGGCCATTTTTTTAATTAAGGCAATACTTCTATGACTTTATATAATCTGAAGAAAAACAATTAAACACTTTGCTGAATTTCCGACTAAAAAACGTCTTAACATGCAAATGTTTCTTGACGTATTATAACATAAATCTAGCAGCTTAACATCAAGCGGAGAAGCTGGTAGCCCACATGTGAAGATGTCTACCAGGTCAGTGGCACCAATAAAAAATCGGGAGACAGTGTGCATTGTGGGAATGCCATTTCAGTGCATTTTCAGGCACTGTCTACGTAAGAAATATTGATTCCCACAAATCTGGACTCTCTCTCCAAGTATGCTCATAAAACAAGAATTAGTTGTTCATGAAATCAATGTTCATGATTTTGGAGAGTTTGAGACAAAAACAATTGCAGGTAGGAGAGGATGAGGTGAAGTGAGAAAGAGGCGGAGGAAAGGAGGAGGCAGCGGAAGACAGTATGGTAGGAGGAGGTGTGTGTTTCAGTATGAGGTTAGAAAATGGGAGAGAAAAGAAGATGTAATAATATGTTCCCTTGAACAAGCAAACAAAAAGTCCACCCCAATACATGAAAGATATAGGGGATTTACAAACTGTATACAACTACTTTGAAGAGGAAAGGAGGTAAAATTACAGACAATTGCTCTCTCTTTTTTTTTGCTGTACACAAATCATTTCTGTCTGTCTTTTCTTTTGTCAAGCTCCCTTTCTCTTTCTTGTCCTTCTACTCTCTTCTCAGAGAGTCTCACAAGACTTTCATCACGTTTCTCACATCTTCAGCAGAGTATAGCTCCTTTGTCTGGATTCTTGGGTTATCCTAGGTAATTTACACTATTATACTTGTCTTTATTTACCTGTAGCAGAATAGTCATACAGATAGAAAGAGAGACAGATTGAAACCTATAAAATTATGGGAGAAAGCATAATTTATAGAATGCGAGGGAACACATCCTCCTACCCCCCATTGTTTTGACTGCTCGGTGTTGCTCTGTGTACTAATCGCACAATATGTCTACTCTTTGACACTGCCGACTCCTGACTCAACATTATAGCCACACCTCCGCACACATAGTGGTGAGGGGGAGAAGATGAAGAAGAGGAGGTAAGAAGATGAAATGGATAGTACAGACCTAGGAAAGAAAAGAGAGGGTGAAGAGAGCCAGATAAATCTTCATGAATTAGAGTCTTGTGAGCAGAGGAGAAGAGAGAGGAATAGAAGAAGAGGAGGAGTGAAGAGGACAGGATAAGGAGAAAGAGGAGAAAGGAGTAGTGAAGAGGAGAAGAGTGAGGAGGAAGTCGGGATTTGAGACAGAGAGTAGATGGAGAGACAGGAGAGTTGACAGGAAGAAGAGGAGAAGAAGAGAAGTGGTAAGAGAAGAAAAGAGAATTGTTATGTTTGTCCTTTTCGTCAAAACAAGTTTGTAAACAATATATTGATAATTATGTTGTGTGACTTTTTTTTTTTTGCTATACAAGAGTGAAATATATATTGCACCTTACTTCTGTCTCTAGCTCCAAAGTCTATTCACAAAATAAAATAGTGAAAAACAAAACTACCTTCAATTCAATAAACTAAATCTTACCGGTGACGGCATCGCGCTTTGCCATACCGGCTCTCTTCTGCCAATCTTTCATGGCTCAATCCTCGAAGTACCGATGCAAAAATTTCTTGTTTTGTGACTAAACACACTCAGAAAAAATCTTCAACATTTCATGAAGGAAAAATAATTTTTTTTTTTCCATAAATTTGCGACATAGAATGACAGTTCAGAGATGGACCAAATGCAACAGTCAAAGGTTTTAAAGATATACTTTGTACTGACAAAATTTTAAACAAAAAAATGTAGACATGAAATTTTTCTTACATTATATAAATAAAAACTTACACAAGTTAGCATATAGTAGGAATGTCACTGAAAACAATAGTGGAAACAGATTATATAAATGGAAAAGTGATATTATGGGTCATTAACACACCAGCTTCTTACAAAGGCAGATTGATCCAGGAAAAAATACACAATCAACATCACTCAACCCAGTTCCAGGAAAAATACAGTCACCATCACTCAACCCAGCTGTCTTACTTTAATACTGACCCAAATCACAGCATCCCTACTTGGTATATAAAGTTCAGATACTATACTTTCCACCTCCAAAACTCAAGTTGGGCCAACCAGTTACCATTAATTCCTTCATAAATATAACCATGCTCAAACTTCAGCAGCACATCACATAAGAGCATAGGAATGGAAGAACACCGCAGAAGGTCTGCTCACAAGCTTATCCAATCTCCCTTCCAAGCTACCCAAGATTTTAGTCTCTATAACCCCACTCGGTACATCATCAGATGCAGCATTCTCCACCTGACCACAGCATTCTGAACCTGACTATAAATACTCACGTACCTTCCACCCCAGGTAGATCTGTTTGTGACTTGAAAAAGCCCACTGTGTGGGCGAAACGTTGTCAATAAAGGATCACATTATACTGCATTTGTGTTTATATTTCCTTACCATTAGGAATTTTTATTTACACAAAAAATAGAAGATCTACTGTTATGCAGACTACTGCATTATTGTAATAATTGTATAAATAATGTCAACCCATTCTTGACTGCGTATTGGAATTTGGACTGGCAGCCACACACCTATTAGATAGTAATATCATTTGTTTGCTCTTGAACATCACTGAAGAATCGAACATTTCTGCTACTTTGAGCTCAATTTCAAGGTACTTTCCATCAAGAAAGCAATCAAAATCATATCTATTTCTGTAATATATCTTCCATTCTATCAAATGAGACCAAAAAATGAGAATATAACCATAAAAACCATATGAAAATACTATACCACTATGGGGCCGCTAATGGTTGAGAAGTGAACTCCGTTATTTATGGCCTGATTTCTTTCCTTTTTGATGCACGTTAACCCTTTGACTGTCGCAAGCCCCTTTCTGAAACTGTCATTCTCAATGTACTGTTTGCAAAGACATAAATAAATAAATTCTATGTCACAAAATTTATAGAAAAAAAAATTTCAAATGGAATGATAGAGAATCTTTTCCTGATGGTAATGACACCAAAAGTACAAAATTTGGTCAAAAACTCACGGAATTACGCTCCCGCAAAGTTAGCTGTCTAGGCAACATATACACATTGGCGATTTTGCCGACTTTGAGTTCTGTTTTTGACCAATTCCGTTGTTCCAGTTGACCAAACTCATAGCTATTTCTTTAGAACTCCATTTTTTCTATCAGTTGAATACAACAAACCACCCATTTACTGATTTAAACTACCCAATAAAGTGGCCAGAGATTGGCAATTTAGCCAATTTCATGCAAATTAATAAAGATGCCAATTTCAAAATAGGGTCCAGAATAAACAATGTAGAAATTTTTGGCACTATAATAACATCCTCTGTTCATTAGTCATATCTCTAGGCCCCTCTTATATTACTATTGCTTTATATTTTGATTTTTATTCATACAAAAAATACAAAATTTACTGTTATGCAGACTACTGCATTATTGTAAAAATGGTATAAATAATATCAGTGCACTAGTGAAAGAATATTAGACTCCCCAGTTGACGTGTATTGAAAATGTGGTGTGATTTGCTTACTCCTGAACACTGGTAAAAATCGAACATTTCCGCTACTTTGAGCTCAATTTCAAAGTCGTTTTCATCATGAAACTAATCAAAATCATCTCTATTTCTGTAATATGTTTTCCATTTTATCACGTGACATCATGAAAATGAGAACACAATGATAAATACTATACAAAAATACACCTCAAAGTCGGCATTTTAATCCAAAAAAAACGATCAGTTTCTTTTTTTCTCATTATGCACTGCGTGCTGTAGGATTTTGTTTATGTGGTGCACACTGACCACACAGACCCATTCTCTCATATGTGAGCCTACCAGCTTTCTCCTGCTTGATTTGAAGCCACTAGAATTTATGCATATTAATACATCCGAAACACTGGCTTGTAAGACACATATACGACCAAAACAGTCAAAGGGTTAAGAAGCATCTTTCCATCATACATTGCCCAAATTTCAATAAGATAGCTCAACAAACAACTGCGACAAAAAAAATAATAATTATAATAATATGGAATAGGTGGTAAGTTACTAAATGCTGTGAAGAGTTTTTATGAGGATAGTGAGGCTCAGGTTAGGCTGTGTAGAAGAGAAGAAGACTACTTCCCAGTAAAAGTAGGTCTTAAACAGGGATATGTAATGTCACCATGGTTGTTTAATATATTTATAGATGGGGTTGTAAAAGAAGTAAATGCTAGGGTGTTCAGGAGAGGGATGGGATTAAATTATGGGGAATCAAACACAAAATGGGAAGTGACACAGATACTTTTTGTTGATGATACTGTGCTTATGGGAGATTCTAAAGAAAAATTGCAATGGTTAGTGGACGAATTTGGGAATGTGTGTAAAGGTAGAAAGTTGAAAGTGAACATAGAAAAGAGTAAGGTGCCGAGGGTATCAAATGATTCAGATAAAGAAAAATTGGATATCAAATTGGGGAGGAGGAGTATGGAAGAAGTGAATATTTTCAGATATTTGGGAGTTGACCTTTCAGCAGATGGATTTATGAAGGATGAGGTTAATCATAGAATTGATGAAGGAAAAAAGGTGAGTGGTGCATTGAGGTATATGTGGAGACAAAAAATGTTATCTATGGAGGCAAAGAAGGGAATGTATGAAAGTATAGTGGTACCAACACTCTTATATGGGTGTGAAGCTTGGGTTGTAAATGCTGCAGCGAGGAGGCAGTGGAGATGTCCTGTCTAACGGCAATGTGTGGTGTAAATATTATGCAGAAAATTCAGGTGTGGAAATTAGGAAAAGGTGTGGAGTTAACAAAAGTATTAGTCAGAGGACTGAAGAGGGGTTGTTGAGGTGGTTTGGTTATTTAGAGAGAATGGATCAGAGTAGAATGACATGGAGAGCATATAAATCTGTAGGGGAAGGAAGGCGGGGTAGGGGTCGTCCTCGAAAAGGTTGGAGGGAGGGGGAAAAGGAGGTTTTGTGGGCGAGGGGCTTGGACTTCCACCAAGCATGCGTAAGTGTGTTAGATAGGAGTGAATGGAGATGAATGGTATTTGGGACCTGATGAGCTGTTGGAGTGCGAGCAGGGTAATATTTAGTGAAGGGATTTAGGGAACCAGGTTATTTTATATAGCCGGACTTGAGTCCTGGAAATGGGAAGTGCAATGCTTGCAATCTAAAGGAGGGGTTTGAGATATTGGCAGTTTGGAGGGATATATTGTGTATTTTTATACGTATATACTTCTAAACTGTTGTATTCTGAGCACCTCTGCAAAAACAGTGATTATGTGTGAACGAGGTGAAAGTGTTGAATGACAATGAAAGTATTTTCTTTTTGGGGCTTTTCTTTCTTTTTGGGTCACCCTGCCTCGGTGGAGATAGCCAACTTGTTAAAAAAAAAAAAATGACTAAAGTTAAAGTCTCCTAGAATTACTACATTATCGTGCCTTGTGGCCTTAACAATTTCCTCCCATAGTGGTCTCCCTTGGTCCTTATCTACATTTGGGGGACGGTATATCACTCCTAAAATTAATTTTTCATGCCCCTCTGAAAATTCTATCCAAACAGACTCTGTGTGTGTTACTTCAGACTTAATACCTGTTTTTATGCAACAGTTCAAGCGATCTCGGACATACAATGCCACCCCACCCCCCTTCCCGATACTTCTATCTACTTGGAACAATTTAAAACCCTGAATGTGACATTCTGCAGGCATGTCCCGACTTTTTGAATTGAACCACGTCTCAGTTATGGCAAATACATCAATGTTACCTTCACTAGTAACTAATCTCAACTCGTCCATCTTATTCTTAGCACTATGGCTTTTTTTTTTTTTTTTTTTTTCAACAAGTCGGTCGTCTCCCACCGAGGCAGGGTGACCCAAAAAAAAAGAAAGAAAATCCCCAAAAAGAAAATACTTTCATCATCATTCAACACTTTCACCACACTCACACACCATCACTGCCTTTGCAGAGGTGCTCAGAATACAACAGTTTAGAAGCATATACGTATAGAGATACTCAACATATCCCTCCAAACTGCCAATATCCCAAACCCCTCCTTTAAAGTGCAGGCATTGTACTTCCCATTTCCAGGACTCAAGTCCGACTATATGAAAATAACCGGTTTCCCTGAATCCCTTCACTAAATATTACCCTGCTCACACTCCAACAGATCGTCAGGTCCCAAGTATCATTCGTCTCCATTCACTCCTATCTAACACGCTCATGCACGCTTGCTGGAAGTCCAAGCCCCTCACCCACAAAACCTCCTTTACCCCCTCTTTCCAACCCTTTCGAGGACGACCCCTACCCCTCTTTCCTTCCCCTATAGATTTATATGCTTTCCATGTCATTCTACTTTGATCCATTCTCTCTAAATGACCAAACCACCTCAACAACCCCTCTTCTGCCCTCTGACTAATGCTTTTATTAAAATCCACACCTTCTCCTAATTTCCACACTCCGAATTTTCTGCATAATATTTACACCACACATTGCCCTTAGACAGGACATCTCCACTGCCTCCAACCGTCTCCTCGCTGCTGCATTTACCACCCAAGCTTCACATCCATATAAGAGTGTTGGTACTACTATACTTTCATACATTCCCTTCTTTGCCTCCATAGATAACGTTTTTTGACTCCACTATACCTCAACGCACCACTCACCTTTTTTTCCCTCATCAATTCTATGATTAACCTCATCCTTCATAAATCCATCCGCCGACACGTCAACTCCCAAGTATCTGAAAACATTCACTTCTTCCATACTCCTCCCTCCCAATTTGATATCCAATTTTTCTTTATCTAAATCATTTGATACCCTCATCACCTTACTCTTTTCTATGTTCACTTTCAAACTTTCTACCTTTACACACATTCTCAAACTCATCCACTAACCTTTGCAATTTTTCTTTAGAATTCCCATAAGCACAGTATCATCAGCAAAAAGTAAACTGTGTCAATTCCCATTTGAATTTGATTCCCCATAATTTAATCCCACCCCTCTCCGAACACCCTAGCATTTACTTCTTTTACAACCCCATCTATAAATATATTAAACAAACCATGGTGACATTACACATTCCCTGTCTAAGACCTACTTTTACCGGGAAGTATTCTCCCTCTTTCTACACACCTAACCTGAGCCTCACTATCCTCATAAAAGCTCTTTACAGCATTTAGTAACTTACACCTATTCCATATACTTGCAACATCTGCCACATTGCTCCTCTATCCACTCTATCATATGCCTTTTCTAAATCCATAAATGCAATAAAAACTTCCCTACCTTTATCTAAATACTGTTCACATATATGCTTCAATGTAAACACTTGATCTACACATCCCCTACCCACTCTGGCTATTAGCATAATATACATTGAAAGACCCTCCTTTCTCTTTACCCTTCCATTCATTTCCAACTCCTCTCTTTGGCAAAATACCACATATGACAGGGTTCCCACCCTTGTTCCTAATTATTTCTATTGCTGACCTATACCACAGGGTTGGCACTAGAAGCTTTCTTTGGGCCCATGGTGGCTTATTTGGCAGTCACAAGCACTAAAAATACTGGAATAATACAAAATTTATCGTATGTATGTGTGCAACCGTGTCAGCCCGGTTTGTAAACAATGTCACACTAGCTCAGTGAGGCCTCAGACAACAGATGCATGGACGCTACGGGACGAATAATGTAAGTTAGCTTTTCAATGTATTCGGGTCAAATATTAGCTGACAAGATCATAAGTCGGTTTTAACTAGGTTGAGGAATCGTAAGTCGGAGGCCACTGTTATCCAGTTGCCATATGCTAACTCTGTTTTCATAAGCCCCCAAGACGTGGAGAATGGTACTTGTACCCTGCCTCTTCATACCTCTGTCAATTGCTTGGTTTTTATGCCAAATTATTTTTAATTCTGGAGTATTTAACATGTTGTTTATGTTATTTATATTGCTTATATGTCATATTAGATCAACTGTGATAGACAAATAAGCCATATTGTTGATATTAGCGAAATAATAAAGCATATTCCTTGCATCAGAGATTGAGTCATGGCACCGACAGTGCTTCAAAGTCACCTTATCTTTAATGATAATGTACTTGTAGGTTGCTTTACATGATGAGAAGCATTTCTTTATATTCTTTGGGAAGCCTGGAGGGCTAAAGGGAAAAGCAGGTATAACAATAAAAGAAAAGAATTGGAATGACTTATGATGCAGCAAGCAGCACCACCAAACAGTACCAGCAGGTTGGTGTGGCAACCCTGGAAATTTGAAATTATGCTAGCCGAAATTAGTGCCAAATAACTCATGGAACCGGATGTCTGACTGCTGGATTTGTGATGAAAGACCTGTACTTCTGAAATCAGAAGACATTAGTGGGTAAAAATATATTTTAATAGACTGTACATATAAAACAAAATTAAAGACAAACTACTTTCACACTAGTACATATAGTGTATAGTGCCACAAGCACAAAACACTATGTAAAACCTCTACAGTGGTCCCTCGTTTTTCGTAATTAATCCGTTCCTGGAGGAGCTACTATAAACGAAATTTACGATCTGCGAATCAATTTTCCCCATAAGAAATAATGTAAATACAATTAATCCGTTCCTGACACCCAGAAGTATTAAAACAAAAAAAAAATTTACATGAAATATACAAGTAGAACATAAACAATACAATGGGAAATGATGAATGAAACATTAACAGCATAACACTTACCTTTATTGGAGATTCTTCTTAGTGTATGGGAGACTGGAGGAGGAGAGAGATTGGATTGTTTACAGTTTGGAAGAGGAATCCCCTTCCAGCAACACCTCAGGTACCAATTGCTTCTCTGGGGTTGCTTCTCTTCTCTGTTTCTTAATGCCACTAGGACCACCTTGAGAGTCACTCTAGTCCTGTCTCGCAAAGTAACTGTGGAGAGAGCTCTGTTTCTGGCATCTCTTTAACACTTCCCTAAAATGGCCCAAGACTTTGTCACTGTACATATTTCTCACCTTCTTTACCACAGACTTGGCACTAGGAGCTTTCTTTGGAGCCATGGTCGCTTATTTAGTACTTGCAAGCACTAAAATGAGTGGAATATTACGAAATATTTCGTAGGAGCACTTGAGGGGACCTTCACTCGCTGGTAAACAATGCCAGACTGGCTGGGTAGGGAGGCCGCCCCGACTCACACCGTGCATACGCGTCCCGGACGAACTACTATTCGCGAGTCAACCTATGAAAAGCGAGTCCATGTTTATACGAAAATACCCCTATGATTAGCGAAATTTACGATTGCTGAGAACTACGAAAAGCGAGGGACCACTGTATTTGGATAATACAGTCTACTCACATGTATATTAAAAAAAACACAAGAAAACACAACTCAAACATAGTGCTTTATCACTTTATTTGTGGAAGCTATAAATAATCCACCCTCATGAGGATTCAAGTTCACATCACACATTACCTTAATTATACGATCATACTCAATGCCTTCTTGGCCTCCACCAGCTAACGTAAGTGTTAGGAAAATATGTTCATCCATTGTGCCTTTGAGAAGAGGTCCCAAATTGTCCAGTATCATTGAACTTGGTAAAGTTGAAGTGTTCTTGCCTTTCAGCAGAAGTCCTACAAATTTTGTTGCCATTTCTGCATTCAAGTGATTGGTGATATGTTTCTGTAATGAATTGCTGGAATTCAATATCATACAACATATATATGGTATGAAATGATATTAAATTAAACAAATTTAAAAACCATCTTCATTCCCATCATCATAATAACAAAATGAAAATTAAGCAAACACAAAAAATGAAAAAAGTATTCCAAGTCACAAGTCAAAACACTTAAAATTAAAGAGGTATCAACAAGGGAGCACAAATTTAAAAGTAAAAATGAACCCGAGATACACAAAGAAACTTCAGCATGGAAGTGATGGTATGTAAACTTTCCTACTAAAGAGAGTAGTGGTGACAAACTCCATATATGAACTCAATTGTAAATATGGCAAAAAGCTCACAATGGGTGAAAATGCATTACATCAATCAAGAGACATGATCAAAGAAAGAGGGAGGGAGGGGGGAGAGAGAGAGAAAGAGAGATATAGAGAGAGATAGAGACAGAGATAGAGAAATAGAGTGATAGAGAGAGACAGATAGAAATAGATAGAGACAGAGAGAGAGAGAGAGGTTGTGGTTGTGGAGGTTGGTGTGGTGGGTGGGTGGGGATGGTGGCCTTTGTTGTAGTTCTGTTGAGTCCGGCATGGGTGGCAGCATGGTCCACTGCTGGTGCCTCATGTCTGGCCCCACCACTACCACCAACAATGAAATGCACGATGGAAATAAATGGATAAAATACCGACACAATGGAAAAATAAACACACATGCAGTATAATGTGATCCTTTATTGACAACGTTTCCCCACACAGTGGGCTTTTCAAGTCACAAACAGATCTACCTGGGGTGGAAGGTATGCAAGTTTTATAGTCAGGTTTCAGAATGCGAGGTCAGGTGGAGAATGCTGCATCTGAAGATGTACCGAGTGAGGTTATAGAGTCTAAAATCTTGGTAGTTACCCAAGATTTAGACTCTATAACCTCACTCGGTACATCATCAGAGGCAGCATTCTCCACCTGACCTCAGCATTCAAAACCTGACTATAAATACTCGCGTACCTTCCACCCCGGGAGATCTGTTTGTGATTTGAAAAAGCCCACTGTGTGGGGCAAAACTTGCAATAAAGGATCACATTATATTGCATGTGTTTATTTTTCCCCAGATGCAGCACATTTTCCATCCCAATTGCAACACTATCATCTTCATTTTCACTATCTGTCCTGTTGTACACCAGGGGATGTACTCCAAATGAACTCCTTTCCCCTTGGAATGCATATGGCACACTACCAAAAGTGCATATACCGTCGTAATAAAACTGAGCTGCACTGGAGAATACATGTTTCCACTTCACTATCCTACTGGAACTGTTTTCAAGAGCTTGTAGTTCAATTCACTATCACTATCATCACCATTGCTCAAAATATGAGTCCTGGGTAGGGAAAATACGAGTTTCCTCTTTCGTTCCGGTAAAAAATAACCGTGAACAAGAAAGGCCCAGCACCAAGGTGGGAAAGGTGAGGTCATCTGGATTTTCCTCACTATTACCGGGATTATGGGCCCTTAGTTTTTGATCACAACCTCATCAGAACATTTAAACTATCTTCACTAGCACTTCCATCTGTATTTGAACTGTCACTGGGGGAAAAAAAGTGTCCCAATTCGCCGAGGAGTGAGGAGTTTCTTACCACGAGGCATGGTGAACAAGGTGACTAAAATGGCTTCCCCCAATGCACCACTGGGTCCCCGATTTTTCCTACCTGCACACTGACCACACAGACCCATTCCTCACATCTAGGCCTACCAGCCTTTTCCCCACTTGATTTGAAGGCCTTAGAATTTAGGCTACTAGTACATCAATAACCCTGGCCGTAAGCCATACTAGTACAAACGGAAAAACCCCGAAAGGGTTAAAAAAAATATCAATGTTGGCCCGACACAAACCCACTACCATTATACAGTGAACCCCCGAGTTTCGTGATTAATCCTTCCCGAGAGTCTGCCGAATGACGAAATTGCCGAATGGCGAAACCATTTTCCCCATAAATAATGGAAAAAAATTTAATCCGTTTTCCCTACACCCAAAAATATTAAAAAAAAATTTTTTTTCAAAATTTAAAAAAAGATTTACATACAGAAAACATGAGAAATCAAGTACATACATATATAAAATAATAATATTACACTTACATTTACTGAAGACTTCTGGGTGGATGGAAGACAGGAGGAGGGATAAGAGAAAGGTTGTACACTAGTGTTTGGAAGGGGAATCCCCTTCAGTACCAAGTCCTTATCTTGGGTTACTTCCCTTCTTTGTTTTTAATGACACTGGGAACAACCTGAGAGTCACTGGACCCCTGTCGCACAAAATATCTGTCCAGAAAGCTCTGTTTCTGGCGTTTCTTTAAGATTTGTCTGAAGTGGGACACAACACTGTCATTGTACATGTTGCCAGCACGGCCTGAAACAGCTTTGCCAGGGTGAAGTTCATCCATAAATAATTGCACATCAGTCCACTTGGCACAAATGTCCTTAATCTTCGAAGAAGGCACCTTCCTCCATCTCTCTTCCTCCTCCTCCTCCTCTGCAGCAATTTCCTGAGCTGTGGTCTCTTGCTGTTGCAGACGAAGTTTTTGCAGCTCTGCAGTGGTTAGCTCTTCATCGTGGTCCTCCACCAACTCTTCCACATCCTCGAAACTCACATCCAACCCCATGGAATTCCCAGTGATACAATACTTTCCACAACTGGCATAAGCTCCTTAGGGTCAGCCCCAAACCTTTCAAAATCCCTCTCTTGTACACATTGTAGTCACAATTTTCTCCAAGCAGAATTCAAAGTTCTGCAAGTCACTTCCTCCCAAGACTTACCTATAAGGTTTATGCAAGTGAGGATATTAAGTTCCTTAATGTAGATTGCACAGTATAGTGTGGATGTATGAACAGGGAGTAGTTACATTGACATTGTTCAGAGTAATTTGTGTGAATGTGGAAGGCTGAGAAGATAGGGGCAATGGTACAAGGAATTTCCTTTTTTTAATGATTTGGTCAGCAGGTGAAGAAATACCCGAAAATATTGGCCACTCAAGTTGCCTTGGTAATTGGACAGTGCCGCTACCTCCGACTTGAGAGAAAGTGGAAGAGTTTAGTTTCATCATGGTGAAGTTTTGTCCCCTAATACAACAATCTCTCCACACGTGGAACCAGCAGTCATTTCAAACCAAAACTGTACAACACAGCAATTTTCAAAAGTGCTTGAATTACCTCAACACTGAATTAAATTAAAGAAGTTCTGGAAATTTTAAATTCCAATAATAACCCTTTGTTTTGTCTATACATCGTCTTACGAACAAGTGTTTCAGACGTATTACAGTGACACCCCGTTAACGATATTTTTCACTTCCATAAGTATGTCAGGTGCCAGTACTGCCGAATTTATCCCATAAGGAAATGTGAAGTGATTAGTCCATTTCAACCCAAAATACCGTACAACCACTTACATAAATACACTAACTAATTGGTCGCATTCGGAGGTAATCGTTATGGGGTCATGTATACTATATATTTATGCGGCTTTCAAATCAAGCGAGAAAGCTGGTAAGCCCAATAGAAGAGATGATCTGTATGGTAGTTGCACCACATAAAAAAAATCTGCAGCACACAGTTGCATTAAAAAAAAAAAAACTCGGAATCGTTTATTTTGGATAAACCCGACTTTGAGGTTATTTTCGTATAGTATTTATGATTATTTGCATTTCAATTTAGGTGATAAAATGGAAACATATTACATAAATTGAGATGATTTTCATTACTTTGACAATGAAAAAACGTCTTGAAAACTGACTCAAGTAGGGAAATGTTCGATTTATACAATGTCAGAGTAAACAACTCACACCACACGTCCAATACACGTCAACTGGGATCTAATATTTCTTTTCACTTGCACTGATATTATTTATACCATTTTACAATAATGCCCTATCTGCATAAAAAGTAAATTTTGTATTTTTTGTATGAATAAAAAATCAAAAAAAAGCAAATAATAATAAAGAGGGTCTAGAGATGTGACTAAAGAACAAAGAATATGTTATTTTAGTGCCAAAGAAGTCTACCTTGTTTATTCTGGACCTATTTTGAAATTTGGATCTTTTTAGTTTGCGTGAAAATTGGCCAAATTTCCCAAAATTTATGACCCCAATATTGGGTAGCCCAAATTTGGTAAATAGGGGGTTTTTCTTGTACTCAGCGATAGAAAAAATGGGTTCTAAAGAAAAGCTAGGGGTTTGGTCAACTGGAAAAAAGGGAAATTTTTGGTGAAAATAGGGCTCAAAGTCGGCAAAGGGGCCCGATAGCTATGTAGCCGAGCCGAAAACTTCGCAGGAGCGTAATTCCTAAGTTTTCGCCCAAAATTTTCGAACTTTTGGTGCTTTACCATGGGGAAAAGTTTCTCTATATTTCATAGAAAAATAATTTTTTTTTTTTCAAAAATTTAGGACTAGAATGACAGTTTCAGAAGGGGGCCTAAAAACAGTCAAAGGGTTCCCTTTGACCTAAAATTTCTTAAATTTTGTACAGAACCCACAGGCCAACCCAGACACAAACATCTTATACTTTCCCACGTGTCCAAAAAACCTTTACAAAATTCAATGTATGTCAAAGGCCCTAAAATTGGAACACCCTACCTAAAAATTTCTAAAAACTAAAACCATTCTCCCCTTCAAAACTATCATAAAAACATTTACTCCCTGTACCCCCTGTCAATAATTATCGAATCCCCCTGGTGTTCCACTTACACTCATACAATTTGACCATAAACAAAAATCAATCTCAATCTCAAATAATGAAACTTAACTAGTCTAAGTTGGCCTTGATACTCCAAATGAAATTATTTTTGTGCCAAAAAACAAAAAGCATTCACATTGCTAAATCACAAAATAGTATTTAGTCACTTTGCCATAATACCAACTTACTCAAAATTTTGTAATTTTTTTAAAATTAAAGGTTTTAAACTAAGTCTGCCCGAAATGCCTAGCCCTGCTACGTTTCTAGTGGACCCCCCCTCTGTAATTTTATTTTAAATTAAACCACACAATAACCAAATTCTGTAAAAGTCACATTGTAATCCTTTAGAGAATAAAATTTGAATTAGAATTTAATTTGAAAAAACCCTTGGGATTTTCAGGATACACCAGTAAAAGGGTTCACTTTTCAAACCCCCTAGCATTTCTCCAAAAAATAGGGTTTAGCCTGTCTTCTAGGGGTTTTGTCCTGGGAGTGCCATTTCCTTTTGTATAAGGACCTCTTTGCTTTTTTCCAAAAAAAACCTTTTTTGTCACAATTGAACACTTGTTGAGGGTTTTAATTCTTCAGTGTCTACATACTCCTTACTCCTGTACAAAATTTTTCGCCGCTTTTTTTTTCAGAAATGGCAGCCCCCACAATTTCCCTTTCCCCCTGTGTATGCCACTCACTCTTTTAAAAATCCAAACCAACCTTTTCTGGCCCTTTAAAAACACAAGATACGACTATTCAGGCATTTTTTTTCAAGATCATCATGCAACTGCATTTCCTTTTCACATTTTATCAACTGCATAAAACTATCTCCTGCTAACGTTTTTAGGTAATCCACACCAACAATAACCTTCCACTTTTTTCGAGGGTTTGCGATCTCTTTTTGTCAGCATACCCTTACCCTTTTTGTAACAAAAAAATTTTATTCTTCCCTCGCCACGATCGAAGTGAGGTTGAATGGGGTTTGCCATTACGTCCGGCTTGCTTAACACGCACTCCCGTTTAAATATTTTTCAATGCTTTCCCTTTGAATTTGATCGTTTTCCTCACTTTCTTTCCAAGGGCTCGGAAATAGTTTCCTTGGCCCATGGTGATTTATTTAGCGTTGCAAGCACAAAAATAATGGTTTAAATCATGAAAGTATTGTATGAACTGGGGGTTGATGGTCACCGCTGGTAAACAATGGCACACTGAGTGTGATGGTGCAGGAGACTGGATTTATGTGCGCGGTGAGGGGGACGGTCCCAAAGTGCGAATCCGAGTCAATCAAGAACTGCGATGCTAATTTTGCCAAAAAGTTCCCGAGTCAGTTTCACAAAAAAGTTCCCGGCTGCTGAAGGTGGGAGTTTTCACTGCAGTAGCTTCTACATAGCGAAAATTCGTTTCCCAAAAGTGGCCTTAAGAATGGACTCCGTCAATAAATGAGAAGGGGCTGTATTAGTAATTACAATACAGTGGACCCCCGGTTAACGAACTTTTTTCATTCCAGTAGTATGTTCAGGTGCCAGTACTGACCGAATTTTTTCCCATAAGGAATATTGTGAAGTAGATTAGTCCATTTCAGACCCCCAAACATACACGTACAAACGCACTTACATAAATACACTTACATAATTGGTCGCATTCGGAGGTAATCGTTATGCGGGGGTCCACTGTAGTTTAAAAAAACCTAATCTTACCTCTAATGAAGCAACAGCAACCACATCACCTCCTTTGGAAAGTTTCTGTATAGTATGTAAAATACGCTGACGCTCTTCACCAGAAAAATATTCCTTACGCATATTCTTGCTACTTTCTGCTCCCATGGCTGTGATGGATACCTATATCAAAAGGAAAGAAAGATCAGTTGACAATAATGAGACCAAAAAAATCGTCAAAGATAAAAGCTCTTTGGAGTTCACCTAGTGGAACTCCAACCAATTTATTCCTGTTTGAAATTTTGTTGCATCAAATCTTTGTTCACTCCAGTATTATTACATTTGCTTAAATCGTTACATGGTAAATGTAACAAACTGATACAACACCTATATCACAAGAAAAATTCAAATGAGAATATAATATTTAAGTAATTTTAAGAAAATTATTGAGAAAATTTAAGAAAAAGGTCTCAACATATTAACCTACTGGAACTTAAACCTCTTCAGTCCTTGCTGAAATGTTTTGCTAACATCTTTACCTACTACAGTATTAGTATACCTTGAAAGAGCCAATTTATGTATTAATTATTAATTTATGTATTAATTACAAATGTAGGGTCAATATATACTGTCTTCAGTGTAGGAATCAAAAGGAGTAAAACACCTAAAGTTTAAAAAGTTTAAAATATATTAATAACCAAACCAAATCCATTTTCTCTTGATACAGTGCTACAAAACAAGATGATAATTAAACAAGAAAGCATTATTGGGAATCATAAAATGTGTGATAGTTAAAAACCCTTTAAATGTAAGTAATTCCTTATCCATACCATTCTTAATCATGAGTGTTTAGGTGGGATAATTTTGCCCCACATCAAACCTGACAAAAGGGGTGGCAAAATGATTGTATGATGTAAGCTTCTTCTTTTTAACCAACCAGCTGTCCACAGAGGCAGGGGTGGGCCCAAACAAAAAAAACAAAAGTTTCTCTTTTAAAATTTAGTAATGTAACAGGAGGAAGGGGTTACTAGCCCCTTATTCCTGCATTTCAGTCATCTCTTACAACAACATGGCAACAAGGGAAGAATTCTGTTCCCCTTTCATGAGATAAGTGGAAATAAACAAGAACAAGAATAGCAAAAAAATAGAAGAAAACCAAGGGAAAGATATATATTATAATTTATAAAAATTTAATATTATGATATTATATATATATATTATAAAATATTTTATTATACTTGACCCCCGCTTAACGATCACTTTCCCAAAGTGACCAATTTTGTAAGGTGTATTTATGTAAGTGCTTTGTACGTTATTTTTTGGGGGTCTGAAATGGACTAATCTACTTCACAATATTCCTTATGGGAACAAATTGGTCCGTAAATGGCACCTGAACAACTTCTGGAATGAAAAATATCGTTAACCCGGGGTCCCACTGTATTATATCAGTGACCCCGCCCTGCGATATAAACCGTGCAGAGAGCTCATGTTATGCAAATATCGTTAGCGAATGATTTTCCCAAAGAAATAATGGAAATCAAAAATCCGTGCAAGACACCCAAAAGATGAAAAAAAAAATTTTACCACATGGGAAATAACAATTTTTCCCCCCACAAAGAGAAGGATACATGCACAATAGTAGAGTGTACATGTACATGCACAGTATACATTGTGCATGTACACTCTATTAAATGAAGAATAAATGACACCCTTTTTTGAAGAGCAGCAATGACTGATGAACACGTGTCCGGAGTGCCTTTTCCTCCCCGAGTACTGTAGTCCCCGTTGGCATTTCTTCCCGAACAGGCCTTATCACCACTGTGTATGTCATACGATTCTTAAATCTCTCAAAACAACCTTTGCTGGCTTTAAATTCACCAATATGAGCACTAGTTCCAGCCATTTTTCCCGTTCATCTGGGTTGTTAGGTCGAACTGGTGTGGGTTGAATTCTGGGAGACAAGATTAGGACCCCAATGGAAAATAAGTTAGAGTCCTCGTGATGCACTGACTCTCTTGGGTTATCCTGGCGGGCTAAGCCTCCGGGGTGTTAATTGTTTCTCGGTAATTGTTGTCAAGTTAAGCCACACAACAACACTATCCCACATCTTCGAGTAATACAGCTGATGGTGGTGCAGAAACAACAACAGCTGTGGTCGCAGCTGACCATGGTGCAGCAACAGCTGACCATGGTGCAGCTGAGTGTGGTGCAGCAGCAGCTGTGGTGCAGCAGCAGCTGTGGTGCAAGCAGCAGCTGACTGTCGGTTCGATGTATTTAAAACCTTTTACCACAGGGTTGGCACTAGAAGCTTTCTTTGGGCCCATGGTGGGCTTATTTAGCAGATACAAGCATATAAAATAAGGAATAATACAAAATGTATCGAATGTATGCATGTGCAACCGGCCACCTGGCCCTGGTAGTAAACAATGACGGCCAAGGCAGGCGCTCAGGCTTGGACGGACAGGTTCGGGACGATCATGTTCAGAGACAGCTGATGGTGCAACAGCTACAGCTGACCGTGGTGCAGCAACTAGCTGACTGGTCCAGCAACAGATGACTGGTACAGCAAACAGTGACTGGTACAGCAACAGCTGGTCGGTCCAGCAACAGCTGATGATCCGCAAAGCTAATGATCAGAAAAGCTGTCTGGGCCCAGCAACAGGCTGACTGATCCCAGCAACTGCGGATGATTCAGCAACAGCTGACTGATCTAGCAAACAGCTGACTGATCCAGCAACGCCAATCTAAATCTTCAAACAAACCTTTGCTGGCTTTAAATTCACCAATATGAGACTAGTTCCAGGCGTTTTCCCTGTTCACTGGGTGTTAGTAGGACTGGTCGATGGGTTGCTGCATCTGGGAGGACAAGATTAAGGACCCCAATGGAAATAGTTAGGACAGTATCGGTTGCACACTTTTTTGGGTTATCCTGGGTGGATAACCCTCTGGGGTAATTGTTTCTTGGTATTCTCAATAAGCCACACCAACATCGGTGCTACAGCAGCAGCAAGCAGCAGCAGCTGACAGTGCTACAGCAGCAGCAGACGATTTGCTACAGCAGCAAGGCAGACGGTTACTACTGCAGCAGCAGCAGCAGACGGTACTACAAGCGCAGCAGACAGTAATACAGCAGCAGCATGCAGCATCAGCTGATGGTGTGGTACAGCAGCATCAGCAGCTTACAGTGCTACAGAGCAGCAGCAGCTGACAGTGCTACAGCCAGCAGCTGCAGCTGACAGTGCTACAGCAGCAAAGACAGTGCTACAGGCAGCAGCAGAACAATGTACAGCAGCAGCAGACACGGTTATTACACAAACAGCAGCAGCAGCCAGCTGACGGTGGTACAGCAGCAGCAGCAGCTGACGGTGTACAGCAGCAGCAGCAGCTGATGGTGTGGTACAGCAGCAGCAGCAGCTGACGGTGTACAGCAGCAGCAGCAGCTGACAGTGCTACTGCAGCAGCCAGCATAGGCAGTTGACCATGGTACCACAGTATTTCGATAATAGTTCTCACCCTTTTTACCACAGGGTTCGGCATAGAAGCTTTATTGGGGCCCATGGTCACTTATTTTGCAGAGAAAAATCACCAAAAAAAACACGTAATAATACGAAATTGTTACCGAGTGTATGCTTGGTATGTTACCACAGGAGGCTGGCATTCCTTGTAAACAATGCCACGGCGGCGGAACATTGTGAGGCTGGCTCAGGCCTACATAGACGTGTCTCGGACGAACAGCGTATTGAGCGGGTTTTTTTAGGGTATGCGAGGCAAATCTTAGCAATAAAATGTATCGGTATGCCGGATTTAAGTTATGTAAGGCCAACGTATGCGGGGGGGGGGTCCACTGTATATATATATATATATAATTATATATAAATATATTATATATTTATATATTGATATATATATATACATATATACATATATACATACATACACACATACCATCCGACTTATGACCTGCTCGACTTACGACCTCCTCGACTTACGACATGCTCGACTTACGAACACTCGATTACAACCGTGTTTTTTATGCCAAACTTTCTGGAAAATAAACAGCTATTTGTTTGCACACAGTGTTTATACTAACCTTACAGTATAAATACAGTACTAACAATATAAAAATGTAAAGTTTAAAAACATGAAATTACCAAAATAAAAACAATAAAATAAAGTCATTACAAAAATGTGATGTTGATATCTGTACGTAAAGTTCGACTTACGACCCATTTCAACTTACGACGTGTTTCTGGCGAACCGAACTATAAGTCGGATGGTAGGTTTGTGTGTGTGCTGTGTGTTTATTAATTTATATATATATAATATATATATATATATATATATATATTTATATATTTATATATATATATTATATATATATATATATATACTATATTCATATTTATATATATATATATATATATATTATATATATTTTATATATTTATATACATATATATATATAATACACATAATATATATACACATATATATATATACAAATATTTATATATATATATATTATATATATATATATATATATATATATATATCATATATATATATACTATATATATATATATATTAAATATTTTTTTTTTTTTTATTATCACACTGGCCGATTCCCACCAAGGCGGGTGGCCCGAAACAAAAAAAAGAAAAACTTTCACCATCATTCACTCCATCACTGTCTTGCGCAGGGTTGTTTTTAACTACAGTTTTTAAACTGGCAACATGAACAACCTCCTTCAGAGTGCAGGCACTGTACTTCCCATCACCAGGACTCAAGTCCGGCCTTGCCGGTTTCCCTGAACCCCTCTTCAATGTTAACATGAGGAAATTAAATTCTTTCATCAGAAGTACAAAACAAATTCTGGCCACAAATAGAGCGAAACACCATCGTCAAAGACCTGGGAGTGATTAGGTCGGAGGATCTCACCTTCAAGGACCATAAACATTGTATCAATCGCACTGCTAGAAAAATGACAGGATGTTTAATGAGAACCTTCCAAACACTAGGAGGGCCAAGCCACATGATGACACTCTTCAGGTCACTTTGTTTTATTCTATCTAGGCTGGAATATTGCATGCACTCATAACAGCACCTTTCAACGGCGGTGAAATGCCAGGACCTAGAAAATGTACAGAGAAACTTTCACGGCGCGCATAACGGAGATAAAACA